ATCAATGTTATTTATTGTTATATCAGAGGCTGATGAAAAGCATTTGAAATATCGGATATCAATACTATGATAACGGCCGACAGTATATTATAGATATGTTGTAATTATTGTATTGAATTTTTAACATTGTAGGCAGATTTAAATAAAATACTTAAAGCTCCTAAAAGTCTGATATATGAGTTAAATTTACATATTGACGTCTGTGAAAGCTTCCAAACGTCGGGCCGATTTTAAAAATCATTTTCAAATAAGTTTAACACGTTTTAAACCGTTAAAGTGTTTTATTTAAATGTGTACTACTCGCGTAAACTATAGACATTATTGTAGGCAGAATCAAATACAAAAACTTCTAACACATCTGATTAAGTAATTTATATACTGTCTGTAGTTTACGCGTGTGTTTTAGTACACAGTTAAATAAAACACTAACCAAAAGCCGAAACGTCGGGCCGTTTTTAAAAATAATTTTCAAACAAGTTTAACTAAAATATATCGCGTTTTAGGCCGTTAAAGTGTTTTATTTAAATAAGTTTTTTTTTAAAAAAAATAAGTAATTTATATGGTCCGATAACTATTATTCTGTCTCAAACTGCTTTTAAGAGAAATGTGTCAAACTACACTCGTTTATAATCTGTGAAATAAATTAAAAAATGACACGGGATATTCTGTGTGGTATTTTTCCCGCTGTGATAGTTCAATGCTGTTAAACTAATATAATTTGTATTTATTTTAAGTTGAAAAGAAAAATACAGACTGTAAAAGTTTTTGAATCAGCGACAGGCAGTTATTGTAACCTTGAGTTATAATGGAATGTTATATAAATTCTAACCGTCCATCAGTCGGCCTCAACTTTTGAAGATTTTATTGATGTTTAGAGGCACTCCTGTGAAAATATAAATATAAGAATAAATTCTACGTCAATAGGCTGGTATATATAAAGTTATTGACTGACCGATCAATCGAAACGTGGCGCAAACAACTAAACTAAACTTTTACTACTTTATGAAATTTTTAAATAGATTTTTTAACGGTTATCAGGCATCGAGTATTTAATTAATAAATTCGTGTTAAACTACAGATTATACGAAGCTTCAGCTACGATAAATTGGAAATAGATAAGAAATTACCACAGTCAAAAGTTTTTTTATTATTATTTACTCTTCAATACCAGTAGGTTCGAGTTCTGCCTTTAGTCTTTCTCAAGAAGATCGTAATTAATTCAAGATTATTTGGTCTCTTTTACTTAAGTAAATATGCTTGGTTTTTCAGCAAACCCAGGTTTATAACATACCAGCCAATAAAACAATAGCCGAGTTATTGAATACAGCGGTTAATAAAAATGGACGTCAGTCACCTGCTATATTGGAAGCCGTCCCACGCCCAGAGCAAATGGAAATACACTCGCCGACCGACTGCCAAAGAAATTGAATAGAATAAATTTTTCAGCCGGGCACTTGTGTTAGACAATAGCTGTAAGGACAGGTATGACGGATTGCGCGGGTGCAGGCTAACAAGAGATTAGCGCTGTGTCGCTACGTCCAGATTATAAGTGGCGACACGACTAAACCTATTGCGATCTAGGAAAACCTTTGATGTTTGCGTAGCTATCTGTCGCGGTACAGTCAAGTAATTTAGTCTTAGATTCTATATTTTAGATTTAAAAAATGTAGTTAGTCATTTTATCCAATCATACTAACTTGAATGCTGCGCGAAATGTAATTTATTAATATTAGTAACTTTTTGATGGACTTGTTGATCCAATGGGAGCAATGATGGCTAATGATCGGGTCGTGCGTTTGTTTTCACCAAGCCTTCGAGTATTTATACTTACAAAATGTGTCTCCATTGACGAATCTTGATAATATAGGTGCTACGAACATTGCAATACCGTCCAGTACAAACGTCCACAGATGGAAAAGCCGTATCAGCACTATCACGTTTCGGTTTTATTCTATGGATTTACGAATATCAGGGCCAGGTCATCAACACCTCTTGTTATATGCCCGAGGAATTCCACCTTCCGTTAAGCTTGAACAACATGCTTGTCTTCCCCTTTCTAATGAAAAATAAGTACAAAATTTCGTTACAAAATTAATAATGAGAAATTCCGCCTTTTTGATAATTATTTAGCAAAATTATGATGTCTATTCTGTTCTTTGTATTGTCTTATACTTATAACAAATAAGCATTAAATTTTAACTACAACCCGTAATATAGTGTGTAGTATAAAAATAATGTTAATACAAATCTTACTAGATTACTTGAATTATATATAGTTATTTGCGAGGCTATTTCCAGAATTATCGACTAATAAAATATGTATAATGAAATTCCGGTTATTCTTAACGCGATTTGATGCTATTTTACGAGTTGCCAACGTCAATAATGTAGATTCCATTTTACATAATCATAATAAGATGGCACGTGCAGAACGAATGAAGATGTGTTCAATGTATCTTACTAAATTCTTATACGTTTTGACTTTTAGGATCTAGGCAGACAAAAATTTGCCTATACACATCTTTGGGGTAGCTAATTAAATTTTATATCTATCTTTTTGTGTTGGAAAGCGTAATTTACTGAACTCTAAAGGTTTTCTAAAATAACATATCGTTATTCACTACTTACTAGCTTTCCCCGCGACTTCGTATGCAGGGAATGCTTTGTAACTTTTCACGATTATAGCTGTCCAGCCTATACAAAATATTTTAAAATTTATTTATCATTAAAAAAGTACGACATAGGGACTTGAACTGGCATATACCAATTAAGCTAACATGTCCGACGTCGACGAACGAATTCGTTATCGACGAATTTTATTCAATTTAAACCTCTCGCACCTAATTTTTTTCTCTGTCATCCGATTAAAGTCCTATGTAGTACTTAAAGAGAATAGGTTGTGTAGACAGACGGACATACAATTTATTTGAAATTAGTTTTTCTCTGACATCTCTTTTACCAGATACAAGGTTCTGATGCTGAATCATCAGAGTTAAGGTGTGGTTTTAAAAGGCAACTTATATTGGTTAATTATAGATCATATTTTTCTGGCCCTGATGTATCGGTTTCTCATTGAACTAACCCCGTCTTCTAGATATAGATGCATTATCGAAATGAGGTGATTTGTAAACAATTTGCATGGATTCAGATCTATCATAGAGTAACTGAAAGCAAACACAGATTGCAACAGCTGCGCTCGCGCATTCGATTCGCCGCGAACAAACATTATGACACGGGTGATTTATGTTGATTTACAACTCACTTGCAAACAATCAATTCTAAATACATCTCGAAACTAGAGCTCATTTATCTCTATTTAATATTAATTAGTCTAGCAACTCTTTTACAGGTCTAGATCGAATATGTATAGAATATACTAAAACTATATCTGAACATAAAAAATAAAATTAAAAATGTAATGTAAAATTCAATTATTTGCTGTCGCTAAATAAATCAAATATTTAATTTGTATAAAGCGTTTCTGACAGAAAAATGTTTCATACTATATTTGTTAAAACATGCTGCATCGTCTGGAAAATCTGGACATTAAATGGTTGGTATTCCTAGCACCAACTCAATTGCAATTCCGTCCGGGTCACGAACAATCACCCAAAGATAAATAAAGCCATGAAGTTTAAACACTTTTCGATGTCTTTGGGTTTCCGGATATCCATAATAGAGGTCGACGACGCGTCTTGTTTAGATGTTTTATGGCTAAGGTATTTTAATATGAAATAAATTCCTTAACCTCAAAGTTAGCATAGTTTTCTATCATACAAGATACGATATATTAGTTAAACTAATATATCGCGTTTTAAACCGTTAAAGTGTTTTATTTAAATGTACAATGTGCTTATATTGTCAAAAAGTATATATTCACTCCAGAAATCAAAACGATTTATGTAAAAAACTCTCCAATAACGATCAATAAAACCTAAAAATGGACCTAATTAACACTAGAACCAATGAGAACTATATAAGAGCTTAGACAAAACCTTATTCGTTTACTTTGCTTAAAATAAATAACAATTACAAGTACTTCGTCAGACATACTGTAGACGATTTGTAAACTGAAAAAATTGATTTTCAAAAATATTCACGTCTAACCGGTCTTCAACCAATAATTAGAGCTTTTAACTGTACACATTCTAGTTTAATTGTACTTCTAAAGATTCTAAACTAGTAAATAAACATATTTTGGCGGGAATAATGGATGTTTTGTCTGCGCGTTCTACGCCTTTGAAAATGGCCACTATACGCTAAATTTATTAGAGGCTGTGTTATGACGAGTCTCATTAAGTAATTGTTTAATTATGTTTACTGTTACACTAGCTGTGTCCGCGACTACGTCCGCGTAGTTAATATTTATTTTGAGCATCAATATTGTTTTTGCAAAAGTCCCGTCGTTATAGATTTAAGCTATTGCCCACGAGGTGGGTCGCATCCATTCATTTTTGTAAATTAAGCTCAAAAGATAAATGTCGGACATTTTTTTTTATCTTTAAAGGTTTATTTTGTTTAAAGCGCTAATCTCTAAAAGCTACTGGTGGTAATTAAAAATTAGTAATTATTTTAAAAAGTGGTAATTATTTTTGCTGGCTTAGAGTTTTTATCGTGGTAGGCTATATAACATCATGCTGCAACCAATAGCGGTCAGGAAAGTGGAAAGTCAGAGGGAACTGTGTAAAAGCGGGGAAAATTATTTATCTTAGAGGGTTTTGTAAGCTGCGAAAACGGTTCAAGAAACCCAAAAATATGTATTTTTCACCTGCAATAATCTAAAACAATGTCCGTGACATTACATGTATATCTTTTAAGGACTGTTTTTGTGGTAATCAAATTTTGGTAGAAATATGGCAAAAGAGCGTTTGCCAGGCCAGCTAGTAGTAAATAAGACATTTAATGTTTTCAACAAAGTTTATTACTAAATCTAAAAAGGCTGTTGTATATTTCTCTTGATTGTAACTATACCCACATTACCATCACAATGGGGCGAGATGTCATTCATTTACCTTCCTATGAAGGAAATATAGGAAAATGCTGGTAGTTAAGATGGCACCACTCCTAAAAAACAAAATACTTAAATCAGATTATCATTAGTACTAAAAATAGTATAAGTAGTATTCTATACTATGTGTAATATAGTTTGATACTATTTCTGCTCAATTATTATCTAAAGAAAATACTTTTATTCGTTTAAAACACGAAAATAATTAGGTAACTTATTTAAAATTTATTTTAGCGACCCGAATTTCGAAATCTTTACAGCAGCCGTGGTCACGTTAAAAACCGTTTAGTGTTTTATTTAAATGTGTATTCGTCGCGTAAACTACAGACAATATTTATTATCTGTTAAATGCATTTGGATAAGTCTTGTATTATTGCAACCCATATGCAGAAGACTCCTCAAAACTACTTTAGTTATCAAACTAAAACATTTACTCTTTCATTAATTATTATCAAATAATGATAAAATTAAAACCGACCAAAGACGGATACTGCCTGTAGTTTACTTGTGACTACGGCTGCTTCAAAGCATCCAAAACGTCGGGCCGCAGTTCAAATAATTTCACTTGTCAATAATTCACATTTTAAAACCGTTAAAAGTGTTTTATTTATGTTCGGAATATCTACAGGGAATTTAGATATGCAGTTCAAGTGGCAGATCCACTAAACAATAAACATAGAATGATTTATTTATTTCTGTGTTTTATAAAAACTAAAATAGTATAAATGATACCAACCACAAAGCCATCTTGCCAGCAGCAGAATGTCTAATCGGGCTGTACGGAGTTATTCTGTAGTCAGCGCTGTTTTTGAATTGTTTCAGAATTTTATCGGCCCTGAAAATATATTTATAAATATTTTAATAACCAAAAAGTAACACAATAAGATGTTTCCTTTCTTTAGCAACTGAAAGGAAAGTTGTGGATATTATTGTATTATACATTGTTTAAGTACATAAAAAATGTCAATTTTACACGAGCAAATAAAAACTGAATATTTTGAAAACTATCAAGAATAAGATTTTTTATTAGAGATAAAGAGTATTTACTTGCTCGGGTGCTAACTAAAATTAGATTAAATACTGTCTATAGTTTCATACTTAAATAAACACTTTAACGGTTTAAAACGCGATATATTTAGTTAAATTTATTTGAAAATGATTTTTAATTTCGGCCCGACGTTTCGGATGCGTCAAAGTGTTTTATTTCAAGTAAGATTATAAATTTTCATCGTAACCTATGGTAACCAGTAACGACATAACACAATAGGTTATACCAACAGCACGGAACACTATGAATGCCGGTTCAAATCCTGCCCGTGTCGTAACTTTACCATGTTGTTCGACGGTAATAACAAATCTGTGTTGCCATGGTAACAGTTTATTGTGATATTGTTCGATGGTAAATATAATTAAAATTCGTAAAACGACTTTCCAATTTTATTAAATTATGTATGTCATTCGCGTTTTAACTTGGGCAAACCCGTTTTTAATAGATAATATTACGAATATTGTACATAACTCCTCGTAACTTCGTTTTAAGTAGCGTTAAATCCTTATACAATATATAGTTTTATATCTACCAGTGGATAATTGAGGTGGTGTCAGTTGAGGCCTCAATTATTTCCGCTCAATATTTTGGTCTAATGGAAAAGCTTAAAGTGATAGTTTGGCTTAGGGTAACTGAAATCTTTGATGTTCGATAACGGTTCTAACACGTTTGTTAATAATTATATAGACATTCAGTTTTTCTTCGAGGATAATAAAATTTAATAAATATATGGTAGGGATTAAGAGATTTCTTTCGATTACAGAGTACCGTCTACTGATAAAAATCTTATTAGGTGTAAAGTCACGTTTCGGTTTCAGTCTCTTAACACAAATAACAAAAGCCCAAATAGGCCAACAGTACATCATAAATAGTAGTAAACTCTAACCTTGTCTGTCTTTGTCACAAAATAATACTTAAAATATGTTTGTAACTTACGTGAAGTGCGAACTGGCTGCAACAAGGGCGGTCCGCACATCATACGGCTTCACGTCTACGGAACCATAGGCCGCCAGCGATGATGCGACCTAATAGTTGGACATAAAAAACTTATTCTATAGAAATTTAAATAGTACATATTCTCTTATATACTATTTAAATTTCGCGTTTTGATGCGTTAAAGCTTTTTCGATTAAAATATGTACCACTTTTTTTCGAAAACTTAAATATTTTTTTAATGTTATTGCACATGATGGCACTATATAATTTAAAAATCGATAATAGAAACGGTAGCTCATTTGGTGAGAGAGCATGGAACGCTGACGATGCCGGTTGAAGTCCTGCCCTGGTCGTAATTTACTAACTACTTACTTACTTACTTATTTATGTGTCGTAAACTACAGATAATTCTTATTCAAACCCTGTGTGTCACTTAAAACTTAACTTTATGCGTGGAAGACTTAGTAGTCGATCTGCTAACGATGTATTGTATTGTATTGTCATATATTTGTTGGTTGATTGGTCGGGAATCATTTTTAGTCCAAAAAAAGCTTAGTAAAATATTGCATTTTCAATAAACCATTCAATCTTGCACCATACCACAGAACAATTTAAAACGACGTTAAACTGTTATGCCTTTTAAAAAGAGACGCCGATCGGCGCGGGCGCAGATAAAAAATATATGTGCGAGCCTTTGCGTCACTGTTTTGGTGCCAACTTTAGAAAGATATAAATGGCCGTCGAGATGCCTCGCGAGAGACATACGAGAATTATACTGTCATTGTTACCGATCGATAGAGGTCGGAGTTGTCGTAACAATGCCATTTTAGAGTTCCGCGTTACACATAATCGTAGACAGCTGGTGCGACATTCGGCGTCTCTATTTATAGCCTAACCTTAAATCAACCTTGACAGATGAAAATTAATTCCTACACTTTAAATTTCAAACAGCGGGATTTGAACCCAATTCCACTGAAAAATAATGATTGACAAACTTAACAATCGTCAATGTCACAATCTATACTAATACTACCTGTGCCAGCGACTTCGTCTGCGAGAATCGTTATTTTGGGCGTCTAAATTGGTTTTTGCAAACCCCATCTTTATAAACTTACCTTTTTCCCACGACGTCGGTCGCGTCCCTTCACGTCGTTCTTGTAAGCTAATTTTCAAATATAGACGTATACGTCTATATTTGCTGAGATTTGCGCGTTCAAACATACAAACAACGGTTCAAGATACACAAAAACATGTATCAGAGAATGATTCTTTAAATTATAAAAAAAAAATCTTAAGATGAACTCGCCAGAACGACGGGACGCGACCGACGTCGTTGGTAACAGTTAACTATCGGTTCGTTTAAATCGATGTTATATTCGCTCGGTGAAATTAGATTAAAAATAGGGATAACAGTGACACATGGGCATTATCAAGCTTTTTAAAACATCGGGGTATGCCGGTATGCGTGTGGGTTGATCTGCGCGTGAGTGTGTACCGCTGGATCGTTGCCAAATGTCAACCGCACACACGATAAGCCCTCCGTGTCGTCGGGCGATGTCAACGTTTTTGATGGAAGAGGAAATAACTACGCGATGGTAACTGGTCATTAGCGCGATAAGCGTGCAATATATAAAGATCGGGGAGTGTTGGAATTCTTGCGAGGAAAGTTGGTGATTAAATGATCTCGATGAAACGCTATTTACCAAGTAAGAAGGAAGCAGTAGTTACATCCAAAGATATAGAAGACTAGGTCTTTGGTTATGTTTTTCTTTTAAAACGCGTTATTTTTTATTATACTAGTTAAACTTCTTTGAATATGATGTTTAACTTCGGCCCGACGTTTCGGATGCTTTGTAGCAGCCGTGGTCACGGGGAGACTAAAGATGGAGGATGTCTCTGACGTCAAAGTAAAAATTGCTACGCTAGCGCCATCTGTTCCGAAGTTAATAACCATTATCAAATAAGATTAACTAATATATCGCGTTTTAAACCGTTAAAGTGCTTTATTTAAATAGGTTAGGTTAGGTTAGAAAAATTCATGTCAAATATTTCGTTGTTATTAAACCTACATAAGAAGGGGTTTTGATGTGTCCCTGACAAACAGACGGATCGTTATCAGTACTGTATATATTCTTATGATGGTGAAGGACATAGAAGCACCAGGTTCATTAAATGGAAGGTGAAACACCCCAGCCATATAACATCTAAACTAGACGCGATGCCGATCTATATTGGCTTTGGATATTCGAAAATCAATAGACTAAAACCGAAAAAAGGTTTAATCATCTTTTTCATCTGTGGTCCTTGACCAGAGTGACATTATACTGATCTGTGGACGGAATTTCGATATTCCTACCATCCATTTCATAGCCAGATTTCCAGACCAAGTCTTTATATGTACATATCAAAACTCATAAAACACAAAGTATAAATTACCGTATTATTAATATTATATTAATTAATTTTTTTATAATTAAAAAAACCGTATTATAATCCTTTAAAATTCGGGGGTTCCCCTAGAATGTTCAAGTCTGCCACACTGTTGATAACCATACGGAACCATCCGCATACCGATTTCTAACATGTTCTTCCAAGATCAACTGTACCTTTATCAGGAAAAGTCCCACGCGTCTCTTCAAAGTTTATTTTCGGTGTTGACATTTAGAGGGCGATCATTATAGATGTGAAGTAACATAATTTGTGTCGGCAGACGGCCCTTTTGCATCTGTTATAGTATTATTTAAGGTTTTTATAACTTTAAAAACTTTACAACACTGGCATGACTTGAACTAGTATCTACAAATATCCGTGCTGTTGCTTAACCCATCTCAGATGCCGTGTCCTATACGCTATCGCCGAATTTTACTAAAAATAAACCTAAGTAATGTGCGATTGTGTACAATATATATAATAAAAGTTTCGCTTCACTTAACTGATCCCCACGACGTCGTTAACGTCCCCAAGTTCTTGCAAGTTAACCATAAAAGATAGATATAGTGTCGCTGAAATTGTTTTTATCATTTAAAAAGGAATCATTCTATCCTGCACTTTCTTTAGGTATCTTGAACAGTCACCGCAACGTATGCAACAGAGAGCCTCAAGATGAATAATTTTCCATTTTTTCCACATTCCCCACTGTTTCTTCGATTTCATTGGTTGCGTGATGTTTTATAACCTTAAGCGACCAATAGAAAAATATATTTTTAATTCGAACCAGTGGTTCCTTAGATTTGCCCGATCAAATCTTTACATTATTAGTACATATCAAATCGAGCATATAAGATTCTAGTTTCGCAAACAATTGTGTTGATTTAGCCATAAATTATGTCGCCATCTTCTCGCGGCGCAATAGCACGGCCTTGATACCTAACAACCAAAATATCTATAGAAACTGCAACACTGCAACATTTGCTATACAATTTATTCATAGCATTTAAATAGCATATGCCCTACGTAGCTGGAAGACGTTCAAGACGGCGCTACGACAATAATGACTTCCAAAACCGCGTAACATACGGCTGCTAATTTTGGCAGCTGAACCGCGCGGGCGGAAGGACAGTTTACGGGCGAGAATAGAAATTCAAGACCCTTATATAATAGAGCACTTTATTGTCGAGAGGTGGCGCTGTTAACAAACTTAATGCAACAAACACTTTATTTTAAAAATGTTTTTTTTTACTTTTTTATTTTATTAACTTCGTTCATGGCGAAAAATACTAAGTAATCAGTTTATTCGTCTGGCATTTACGCAAATTGAATAAGTAGAAACGTAAAAAATTAAAAATTACAAATTAAAGGTTAATTTACAGCACTCTAAATGTCTAGTCATAGCTGAATTCATTTATTAAAAAAAAAAATTAAATGTCTTCCTAATTCGATAGTTTGCCCATTTTAGAATGGAATGTATTAAAACCCGGATGGAATTTCGATATTCCTACCACCCATTTTAAATCCAGATTTCCAGACGAAGTCCAACATATTTCCAAAAAATTAATAGAAACATTGGACCCGGCTGGGATCGAAGTCACTGTCGGTTGATTATTAGCCATACATTACTACCATTTATACCACCGAACCCGTGAAAAATCTAATCTGGTCTTAAGACTTTAAACAGTGTAATTTCCTAAACTCAATGAAGAATGAAACGAGTATTGGCGATTAGCGCTTGTAGACGCAATTGTCTGCGCAAGAGTTGCAGCCGATTAAACGCAGTGCAAAATAACTCGTCCTTGTCAAATGTCAAAACAATCGTTAAAATGTTACTTTGTGGTAAACGAGGAATTGGAACTTGGATGAAGATCAGACTAAAATGGAAACACAAATAAAATGGATATCGAATGATGTAGGTGTTTTAGCTTGTTTGTTTGAACGCGCTAATCTCGGGAACTACGGGTTCGAGTTGAAAAAATATTTTTGTGTTGAATACTGTCTATAGTTTACGCGAGTAGTACACATTTAAATAAAACACTTTAACGGTTTAAAACGCGATATATTAGTTAAACTTATTTGAAAATGATTTTTAACTTCGGCCCGACGTTTCGTGACTCCCCGTGACCACGGCTGCTGCAAAGCATCCGAAACGTCGGGCCGAAGTTAAAAATCATTTTCAAATAAGTTTAACTGATATATCGCGTTTTAAACCGTTAAAGTGTTTTATTTAAATATTTTTGTGTTGGTTAGAGCATCTGTCGTGGAAGGCTATATATAAGCCGCATAGGCTATAACACATCGCGTTGAGACTAATAGAAGCGAAGAAACAACGGGTAATGAGAAAATTACGGGGAAAATTAGTCAAGTAAAACGGTCCAAGATACGTAAAAAATATTTATGAAAGAATGATTTCTCTTTAAATTATCTAAAAAAAGTATATGGCGCTATATGTCCATCTTTTAAGAACGACGGTAAGGGACGCGACCGACGTCGTGGGTAACAGCTTAAGTTTATAAAGATGATGGAGTTTGCAAAAACGAATTTGGATGCCCAAAATAACGAATCTCGTGGACGAAGTCGCTGATACAACAAGTAGCTATATGAATAACTGTGACTATGAAATAACCTTGAAACAAGATGTGAACCTATTTTGACTTTTGACATTTGGTTTGAGTCCTACTAAGGCGAAGAAAGGTAAATTTATCGTACATACATAACTAAATATGCTTGAAATTGCAAAATCCACGAAGCCTCTTCTATTAATTGTATGTGTAGATTACATATTTGATACACATTAAATAAAACATGTTTAACGGTGTAAAACGCAAAGAAAATGTATTAGTTATCTATCACTATAAACTACATTTCTGCACGCTTTATATTCGTCGTGGGCACAAGAAAACATCGCTTCAGTTAAAGACTTTTTAACATAATTCGTGTTTTAATCAGTTTATAGGGTTTTATTTAGTGCATTGGTTGTTCAACTTAATTATTGAATATAAAATCGATGATTTAAAGGGAACGAATTTGAACTGCCTTTGTCTATGGTATTAAATATTGTCTATGTCGTATGAAGGTCGCGCGTCTGCGTAGACGCAGCTACTAGGATCGCTATTATTAGTAGTGTAATACAAATGTATGTGTTACCTTGCTGACGTTTATAACCCGCTCCTTAATACATTTCACATGGAGGAGATTTGGTCTCTGTCGCGGCGGGTCGTCTCCGGCTAGATTCTGTCAACAAAAAAACTACTCTATTTTTATCATTATAATGTTAAGTGATTAAAAAGAAATCACTGTATCGTGTTGTTAGTGGTCTAGTCTCACTTGCGATTTGCTCTTTTGTGTATTTTCGATTATCGGTCTTTTAACTATTAACATAAAGTATGAGATCAATTTTTAATATTCACATTGTCTGTAATATTAATTATAAGTAGATAAATAGGTATACTCCCACCACTTTCTATGATAGAGTGAGGAGGACAGACAAGCGTCGGCTGAAATATCTCAACCATATGACATCTAAATAAGATTTAGCTCAATTTTTCATGAGATTTGAGTCGTTTAATACAATGTGGAAGGGGGGAGAGACTATGTACAAACGGACGTGGTTCTTTAAATATTAAACTTATTAACAATGCCTTAAATACATGTATGTAAGGCTATATGAGGCAGAGTAGCCTAACAGCTAATTTTATGACTCAAATCTACAATAATAATATAAATGCGAAAGTAACTCTGTCCGTCTGTCTGTTTGTCCGGCTTTAACTCCGAAACTACTGAACTGATTTAAATGAAATTTGGTACACATATATTTTAGAGCCAGAGAAAGGGCATAGGCTACTTTTTAATGCCAAAAAAGGATCTTCTTATTTGGCATTTCGGAAATGGGTGTGGGAGTGTGCGTGGGAGTGAGTGTAGTATTGAGAGTGGGAGTTGGAATAGGAGTGATGTGAGCTGAGAGTGTTGCAGCAAAGTAACACATACCATAGGTTGGCTGCGTTAAATGCGCCCTACATAAATTAATAAACACCCGAACGAAGTCGCGGGCACAGCTAGTTATTCATATTTTCACAGTCTACAATTGTTTATATACAAGAGTGCAGTGACCGAAAATTGTAAAACAGTAGTTTTTTTTTCCTCCTTATTAAAAATCATGTTTTTCGTTATTAGGCCGCTCTGCCCCTAGCAGTCTCATATATACTTACCATGTAGAGCACTGCACCCCGTATCACATTGACTTTATTCACGTAGGGCTCCAACGCAGATAGTTTTTCAGTAGGACCAACGGGTCGATATTTGCCTATGAGTTCGCACGCTGCCCAGTGTCCCAGCCTGATAAAGATATAACCTAGAATATAATTAATACAAAAATTATAAAGGTGCCATGCTTTACAAGTCTGCAGTTTTGAAGGTCGTCCGTTCCTACTCCCATTGTCTATAGTGGATTTGGTGGCAGTCATTAAAGCTCGCCAACCAGAACGAAAGCCATGTGATGGGCCTAAGAGAAAGGAGACTTATGTCTAGCAGTGGGGCATAAATAGCTTGAGGCTTATTTAGTATTATTTACGCGGACTTTTGATTTGTGCTAATCTCAAAAAATATCTACAACAGTTAATATTCAGATTTATTGTGAAGTAAAAATCTTGGAAGTTATATATTCCGCAGTCATTGAGCATTTTGCTGAAAAGCTTATTGAATTTTAAAAAGTATCACCATTGAGTAACAGTCATCAGACAATGTAGATTTATTACTCACCCCCTATCATCGTTCTCAATAGAAAATTAAAGCATCTTTGTACCAAATTTTTAAGGTATCAGACGATGCTACTTGTTCCGAGCAAACTTGGGTAACGGCTGCATATAATAAAGGCTTAGGTTAATAAAAATACAAGTACCTGAACAGTACGAGTCCCAGCCAGCTTCATGATAGCTCTGCTTGACGTCAAATGGTGTTGTCAGCCTAATAAAGTTTGCTCCTTGTTCCAACCTCTTGCATTTTCCTTCAGAGAAAAACTCATATAAACTAAAAAAAAATCACTTTTAAATAACAAGCTCACATACAAAGTTTTTGTTGCATAGATAACAAAGGTTCGATTCCCATGGGCTCTAGCATGTGGTGTATATCTAAAGTCTATATTTGTTCGGGTTCCAAATTCCTGTCCATGATTAGAAATGTAAACATTCACATTGCAAATTCAAGTCTTACAATTCTAAATGGCTGAAGCGATAATAGGTTCATAACACATCCTATTTTGATATTTCACGGCTGGGGCATTTGATCTTTATAAATGAATATCCTAATAAACGATAAGTAAGTAAGAATGATAGTAATAAATATGGGAATCTCAATAAAATAGGCCATATAGATAAATACCCCTTACTCTTGCAGTGCGTTCGACTTCCAAACTTCATCTAAGGATAATTTTTTTCCCACCACATATGATATGTGCTTCGTATCATACATTTTAGGAAAGAAATTTCTAATATTCTGCTTGAACATCACATATTTGTGCGGCAATGGCCCAATGAACTGGTTATGAAGTAGAATTGTGTCTAAAAATAAGTTATGGCCTATTATGGGTTTTTTGTAGATCGCAAGCAAGTTTATTATCTGAGAAAATCCGAGTAGATGGCTCATGAGATTGTCTTTGAGTATTCTCAGTGGAGCACTATTAGCTCCTTCAACATATCTATCTCTGTATATTAGGACCTGAAAAAAATATATATATTACTGGGAGGCAAATATTAAAAACTACAACATATATAGGAACATCTTAGCCTTCATGAATGTTGTTTATATGTAATTATTTGTTTTTTTTCTTTTAGAAAGAAAAGAGATTTAATGTTAAGGGGTGTTAAACCAAACAGAATAATTAACTGTCTTAATTCAAAACAATGGATGAAATTTTAAGTTTGATCCAATTTGGAGTTACAATAAAATAATCATGAAATTTACAAAAATATATAATCCCTTTATTATATGAATAATTTTATAAACAAGTAAGTAAAATTTTTAGATCTGTGTATTTTTCTACCAAAAAAAATTACCTTATTACTATTACCTAAGCTATCTGTTGTGAGAATATTGTCGAATCTCGTTCTTAGCTCGTTGTGGGTCATATATCTGAGAATTGGGTCTTCTATGTCTAAGTACATGGTCCCCTCATCACTGTTTGTTAGCCACCTGAAAATGTATTCGTCAATTAATAGAATTTTTATAGAAAGAATTTTAATAGACTTTAGTAATACGTAAACTACGTTACACATTAATTATACTACAAATATAAAGATCCTCTATACTATATCCCGAATTTTTCTAGAGATTTGTATTTGCTATCTAATAAGTTTTTTTATTGTCCAAAACAAATTTTTGCTTAATTTTTATTCAGGATTTCAACTTTCGACTTTGATATTAAAAGCATCAGTTATTATTATTGTACTATGAAGGGATATTTTCCATTTATATTAAGTTCTGTATAATAGCTGCTAAAGAAATAATTTTACCAGGAAACTTCTGAGCAGTAGTGTTGCAACTGCCTTTCCCCATCCATCTCGAGGACATTACTCAAATTGTCAAAAGCTGTTAATTGTTGCCTTATTTGATCTTCCTCTGCTTTGTTTAAGAAGCGAAGGCCTTGGTATATAAACTGTAAATAATATATATTTCTTCTATTCATTATTTATTGGTATCTGCAACCGATACTGACGTGTAGGTTACACAAACAGAAAAAAAGGTCGAAATCGAAAACCAAATTGAAAAAATTTTCGACTCAGGGAGGACTTGCAACTACTGTTGCTCTACCAATTGAGCTACTGAGAAAATAGGTGAACATATTAAACAATCAACAGTGCATTGGTTAGAACATATGAAATTAATAGATACATCAACAATATTTTTAGTTTTAAAATATCTTTTGAGTAGGAACAAAACATTGTCATATTGTTTTATATAGTACATTACCTTGTTAAAATCAAATTTGTGTTTGCAAAGAAATTGTAAAGTGGATGCTTGAAATATAAAGAACTGGTCTACATCGCCGAATGCTTGTGGGCACAGGTGAAAAGTATAGCCAATTGCATCATATTTGTCCAGGTCTCTATTATACTGGAACATAGTGAGACCGACTTGGGTCATAAGAATCTTGCCGACTTCATTTTTAATTAAATTGTACCTATCTTCATTTGTGTCAAATAGCCTGAAAAAAGAAAGTAGTTATTATTAATTTTATTTAGATATAGAATTTTAATATAACAATATTTTAGGGTTGGGAGTCACTTCTATTGTTTGTTTGTATATTGGATACAGAACAAACAATTTTACCTATGTTTAAAGCGTTCACCAGACAGCATAGCAGTGAATTCAGCATCAAAACCAACAAAGCTCGAGCGTTTTAGATTTTCGGTAATGTTATCTAGCTCCTCAAAGAAATTATTCTTTGTAATTTCCATTCTAAGTCCAACGAAGGAGGTTATGCTACAATGTAAACAATGTTGTTAGAAACAAACAGGTGGAATTTATATTTATTGAGAAAATGGACGAGGCTTTGTTCAGTTAAAAGGTACAAAGTTCAACTAATTTTTGTAAAGTTGTCCCTTATCTTAATATTTTATAAGGTTGCGGGTGAAATTGTATTTAATAAGTAAAACTGTCAAGTCAACTGACTTAAGTTTTGAGAAACAACGAAATTACGAAACTGTTAATTGTCAATGTCAATCAACGCATTAACTATTTTACTATTAACAATTATTCAATTACGATGCAAAGAATCTAATGCCTGAAGTATTTATTTATTAAACATAAATAAATTTTATCGTTTTTTTGTGGCCGAATCCATAATTGTTCAATAGTCAATGATTTCTCGACCGTTAAATGTATTTTTGCGCTAAAGATGTTTTTCTAACAGAACTACTTTTGATGAATATCTTAGAAAAATACCTACTTCATTTGGTTTGTTACTAAATCTAAATGAATCAATAAAGAAAAGACACTATATAATATATAAAAAGATATTTAGTAACTTAAGACGTCGTTATCATTCCATTATATCTTTGCGACAAATCCTCTCTTTGAAGTTAACAGCTTGAATCATAGAACGCACAATATGGTTCAATTAAAACTTTAAACAGAATAATAGCTAAGAAATGCAACCATAAACTGGGAATTGCGCAATATTATAATGAAAAACATCAAATCTTTCTCTTAGTAAAAGTCAAGGTAAGAAAGAGTATTTTAAACTTATTTTTATATCAAGCTATTGAGTTCGATATAAATGAAAGAAGTGTATATATTTTATATTCTAAAGCCCATTCCTTGGTAGCCAAAAATTTTTTGGCGCAAATGTTTCTGGTTATTGCGTTATTAAACTTGTTAGAAACTCACTGGAATTTTCGTAAAATGTATAACAAAAGATTGTGTCTAACTACGTATTGTTTCAACGGGTCATTGACCTCTGTTTCTGATGCATAAAAAAAAAATTACAAACACGTCAGTAACTCGAAAATAAATATGAATGAATATGTATACATATTTCACTTGTAGGTACTATAAACTAAGTTATGACTTATTACTCTGTTATGAATACATGTGAGTGACTGGCGTCCGCAGTGCGCGACTTGTTACGTAAATAAAAATATGTCTGTAGACTATGCCAAGGACGCCCGGATAGGTCGATGGAGAAACGTAGCTATCTACCATATACAATTCGCAATATGTTTAATAATTTGCTTGTAATGTATGCTCTACTCTTTAATCGATTATTTCATTTACATAAATCGCATGTTTGAAATGCTTGATAAAGTTTTGAAATAGGCGCCACTATGTTAAGGGATATAATTTATGTAATACTAGCTGGTGCCCGCGACTTCGTCTACCCAGGATTAGTATTTGGAGAAGCTTATTATTATTTATTAGCGTGGCGTAGAAAAGAAGAAACATTATGACATCAATATGTGTAACTAACGTTTATGGCAGCGCACGCCAGAATAGCTCGCAGAAAGGTAGGATTTTTCTAGTTACTTGACACTTAATGTCATATTTTGGACACCTCACACAATATCTTTATAAATTGTAGCCTATGTGTTATTCTGATGTATAAGCTATATTATTGGAAAGTTTAATTGAAATCCATTCAGTAGTTTTTGCGTAAAAGAGTAACAAACATCCATCCACATAGACAAACTTTCACGTTTTAATATTAGTAGGATAGTAGGATATGAACACGTAAACAATATACGTCCTATACAGTAAGACGAATATAATTTTTTCGTCTCAGTTTGTCGCCAGAAACTTATATATTATATTTAAATACGATTTAAGTTGAAATAGAAAGTTATTAAAAAAATACTATAAACTATTAAATCAAGGATAGCGGGCTCTTGGATAAGATCGCGCATTGAGCGCTTGAGTTCCTTGATTCGAATTCTCTTGATAATTCTAGTTGAATACTGTCTATAGTTTACGCGAGTAGTAAACCATAAAAAAAAAAAAATTTAAAGTTTTAAAAACAAAAAAATTTTTTAAAATTTTTTTTATGTGTCCCCCCCCCCCCCCCCCCCCGGCCCCCCCCCCCCCCCCCGGGGGGGGAAAAAAAAAAAACAAAAAAAAAAAAAAAAAAAAAAAACTTTTTTTAAAAAAAAAATTTTTTTTTTTTTATAATTCTAGTTGGGCATAATGTGATATTAGTAAAATAGATATACATTTATATCTGTTTTATATGACACGTAAATATGTGTAGTATGCCTTTATAGTGCAGCAATAAAGGATTCTCGCTGAAATATGCAATGTCTGCTTTATCTTTAATCTTTTGTTTGGCAAACAGAATTTTAATCTAGCCGAAAGCTTTAATTTTTAATCCAGCCATTTCCACTTATATGCCTTTGTGTTGCCAAACACCGTAATGTATTCACATTTTAATTATGATTTTAATTACTGGAAAATCTGCTCAGCTAAACGATATACATAAAACTAATTAGCATAAAGCAGTTATTAACCCACTTCTGCCCATGCATGGTAAAAATTACGTAAAATATCTGATATGATATGAGGCAGCTAGAGGAAGCCTAACTTCAATTTATGACTTGACTTACTCATATTTTTATAGAATGTTAATCTACAAGAGCACAGTGACCGAAAATTGTTATCATAATTCTTACACAAATAATAGCACAAATTCATTTTCGCCTAAGTTAATTGTGCATTCTTATTTTCCTCCTTATTAAAAATCATGTTTTTTGTGTTTACGCCACTCTGCATCTAAGCAGCCTTGTATGATCTGTGGATGTGATTCAAGAGTCAAACTGGTTGGATTACCTGAAATGTCAAACAATATTGTAATTGGTCTGGATGATAAGTTAACAGATCCCATCTATGAAGTATTGAATTATTTTTGTTTGTATTATAAATAATTTCTCACCTATTTAACTTTATGTACAATAAAAATAAAATCATGATATATTTCTGTGTATAAATTATGTATAATAGAATTCTAAATAAAACGATTTAACGGTTTAAAATGCAAAACATTTTGTTAAACTAATTAAAAAAATATATTTTAACTACGGCCCGACGTTTCGCCGGCTGGTGCCTAGCATCCGAAACGTCGGGCCGTATAATTTACAATATTATTTAAATGAATGTAATTATTATGTTTCCCGTTTTAAACCATTAATGTGCTTTATATAAATGTGTACTACTCGCGTAAAATGCAGTATAAAATAATTAAATATCTCACAGATAACCCAGTCCCATCGTAAATTACAAACGCGTCATCGTACATTGCCCAAAGTATAGATGCAATGTCCAACAATATTAATAACTGAGTTGCACAATGAGTTACATAAGACAGAGCTCTCTCTGTCAATTTACTTCCGAAATGCCCTGAAGGTGCTGTTGCAAGCCTGCAAGTGATTGTTACTTCTTACCAGTCGCCACTTTATAGTAGACTCGCGTGGTCGCGTTCAAAATCGAACCGTGACTATTACAATGCCGTGAGTGCTCAGCGCTGATACAATCATGGAGGTAGAAAAAAAAATTGAGGACAGTGTTGTGATGCAGAAGCCTAATTACATGCTCATGTCCTTGCAGAGGATATTTGTGTTGTTTGTTATACTTATTAGTGTTGTTGTTGTTGTTTATTACACGCCGATGCCAGGTGAGATTTAACGTTTGTGAGGGTAGTTTCGTAATAAAGGGTAGCTTTTAAAAAACATCAAGCAAAGCCATATATGGGTATTAAATAAGTAAAAATGCTTCACGTTTAAACGCTAAAACAGGTTGTATTGTTTTGTTTTTTTTCACACGCAAGCAATTCAGTGACTGTTTTTATAAAAAGCGACTTTTACATTTTCAAAATACAATTATTCCGATCTGCTCATTAAAACACGAGCATTTGTTTGAACTGCGATGCATATTAATGGAAGTGTGATATACAGTCTAATATCAACAAAATACCCTAATTAAAATTTGTAAATATGCGTGAATTATTTATGAGCAGAATAACTTTTAATTGGGGCCTGGTGATATAATCTGTGATGTACTTTTGTGCAAACGGTATTATAGTATATAGTTTTGTTTTTATAGGCTCGTTGGTCCAGTAGTTTACCTAATGAATTGAATTAATAATTACCAACGCATCGTGGGTTCAATTCTAATTTCCGAATGCTTGAAAATCGTAGTTCGTGCGAGTAGTACGCAGTTAAATGAAGCACTTTAACGGTTTAAAACGAGATATATATTACTTAAACTTAATATGAGAAAATCATGTTTATTACGGCCCGGCGTTTCGGATGCTTTGCAGCAGCAGTCTCGCCGTGACCAAGCTGCTTAATAATAATAAAAAAAGATTAACTAATATTTATCGCGTTTTAAAGCGTTAAAGTGTTTTATTTAAATGAATTAATCGTGAACATTGAACACTGCCAAAGTGTCGTTGGTTGAATTCTAATCGGAAACAAGTAACATTTTATTTTTTACTACTTTGATTGAAATGCCGTCCATGCCACGTTCTTACTATTATTCACGTCTGGAGATTTCCGAATGCCTAAAATTTAAATGGGTCGACAGCATATCTTTTGTATAAAGGAGGAGGACAGACAAACATGGTTCATTTGATAGAAGTAACCTTATATCATAATACCCAGCCACAACACACAAACAAGTTGCGTTGTCGACCTTTTTGGCTTTGAATATTTGGACATCTTAATTATATGTTATTTGGTTGTGCATGTATATATTCACCTTGTAAGCGAACACCAAGCTTCTGTTATCTGTCATAAAAATAACTAGTTTTTTTATGAGCTTTACTCGTGTGAAGGTCGTTATTTAGATCTACATAATATTCTTATATAATGTGTATATATATACTTAGCTGTGGCAGCGACTTCAGCGACAAAATTGTTATCTGTGGCTTCTAAATTCGTTTTTGCAAAGTATCTTGAACCGTTTTTGCAGCGTACTCGGAAATCCATATTGACAAATAATGTTCCTGAATTGTTTCACATTTCTTGCTGTATCTTCGCTTGTATTAGTTATAGAGCGATGTTTTAGCCTATTGCCTTCCTCAATAAATGCTTTAACAAACACAAAAAGAGTTTTTCAACTCGAATCGATAGTTCCTGAGATTAGTGCATTCAAACAAACAAACTCTTCTTCTTTATATATTAGTATAGATTTGATATGCTAACATTTTCAGTGCTCAATATAAGGCATGCGTTCGTTAATTATATTTATTATATAAATAAATTGGCAGTTTTATCTATATCTCGTAATAATATAATAATTACATTTTTGTTTAGTTGTAAGGTAGAAATTATTAATTACTAAAAGAAGGAAAATCTTTGATAAAATATAAGACTTCCTTAACACAGCTGGGTTTTTCTATATACAATTGAGTCTTTATTTATTGTCAAATGCACAACTTTAAAAAAATATCTATTTATGTATTCCCTTACTTTCTTTCATTATGCATTTGTACAAATTTTCGCCGGGCATGAAAACCACGCAGCGGTTTATATATGCCACGTAACAACCTCACAATATATAACTATACCCTATACCTATACTCTAAATTACTTAACTATCTTACCTACTATATAGCTATATTATAAATGATCTAATTAACTAAAATGTCACGCCCCGAACTAAATACTTGTATAATATTAAACTTATACGAACTAGAATATAAGTATCGAACTTATAAAGAAGCACCACGTTGCTTATTTATCAAACAAGGGAAATACAAGGAAGGGGGACACAAATATTTATCTATATATATATACATATGTTTATAAGGTAAATCTTTCTTTTCAGAGGAATATTTCGAGAACTGCGACCGTGAATGCCACGAACTGGACTGGCCGATGATTTGCCGCATAAAGCTGGTTATAGAAGTGTATAAGACGAATAGCAAGTAAGTTGACTTGTGTCTCTAGCTTAAGCAATTTAATAGCATTTAAAAAAATATCAACAATAATACAGTAGAACCTCGTTAAGTCGAACCTGGATAAGTCAAAAACTTCCACACTCCGAAAGAAAATTGTGTTCCCTTCCCTCCAAACACTAAAACCTCCGATTATTCGAAATCTCAACACTCTATTAGTCGAAATAATCAGTGAGTCCCTCCAAGCCAATTCGGTACATATAAAATAGCATCGTCTTATTTTACAACCTTTACAACTCTATTATTTTAGACTCATTACATCTATAGGTCGAATACAAATAAGTTACCGACTTTAAGAATTTGCAAGGAATAAATAGAGTTACTACGAATGTATGCCTCACATTAACACGCGTTTACTTGCTTGATGTCAGGTGTTTCATTTTATTAGTTTTGATTTCATTTGAATGCAAGTTATTTGTTTTCGAGTGAATTGTTGTCAGAAGTAGTTTGGTTCTACTGCAATACATATCAATTTGTACATCAGTTTACAAATATTGTTGGAAACATGAGTGCTGTGAAACGTATTTTACCTCTCTTACTCAAAATTTATAAGAATTAATCTCAATCTCTTTATGTCGAATCAAGATCCGCCTAAGTCGAAATTCTCTCTAAGTCGAAAACTCTATAACTCAAATTTTTTGGCGTCTCCCTTGATATTCGACTTATAGAGGTTCTACTGTATTATGATAAAAACATTCTTAAAGCTCGCATACATAAGTACTCCTAAATATAATAATTGCTTTATTTCATCACGCAGGTCCTGCAACAATTGCTTGGAGACCGGTAAAGAATGCCCGCCCATGTGCATCACAGCCGATGGTAGAGAACGAGGGGTTCTATCCGCTAACAGAGAACTTCCAGCGCCAGCGTTCCACGTCTGTCAGAACGATATACTCGTCGTTGACGTGGTCCACCGTGCGCCGGCGCACGCCCTGTCAATGCACTGGCGCGGTCAACCGCAAAAAGAAACGCCGTTCATGGACGGAGCGCCGATGCTAACGCAATGCCCGCAACCGGCGTACACAACCTTCCAGTACAAATTCCGCGCCTCGGCGGCGGGCACACATATGTACCACGCACATTCAGCAGCTGACGCAGCCGACGGCCTCGCTGGAGCGTTGATAGTCCGCCAATCTCCTAGACTAGACCCTCTCAAGAGTCTATATGATATAGATGCTACAGAACACACAATTTTTATAGCAGAATGGGGTCATTCCATGGGCCCGCTGGCCGGTATCACTTCTAAAGTTCCCAACGCGGAATCGCTGTTGATAAACGGCAAAGGGAATACTCTAGAATCGCCAGATGCTCCTTTGACGACGTTTAATGTCGATTACGGGAAAAAGTACAGATTCCGTCTCGCGTACGGTGGTGGTATTAAGAGTTGTTCTGTTAAATTTTATATAGACGATCACGTATTGGGCTTGGTCGCGCTCGATGGGAATAGAATTGATACTGAATACGTGAACAGCATCACGCTAGGTCGAGGAGAGCGTGCCGACTTCATATTGGAAGCTAATAGACTTTCCGGTGTTTATAATGTTAGGGTTGTAGCTGATAAGTCATGTCAGGAGAACTTAGAAGGTGTAGCAAAGCTAGTATATAGAAATAAAGAGCGTAAAGTGTTACACAAAGACGATTCGACAACTCATGCTCTAGAGAACAGAGATTTTACAACAGTGTTTAGTGAAAAGTGCAGTAGCGAAGAGTTATTGTGCTTAGATGAGGTACGCGGTGTTCACAGACTATCAGAAGAATTGTCCAGTATACCAGACGAAGTTATATATATGCCTTTCAATTACTCGACGCGCCAGATATCAGCGAAACGTATCGGTGAGTGTTTGATTACAAAAAGTTATATCCTACTAGAGTTATCTAATTTAAGCGTAGATCTACTTTCATGAGTAAATCAATACATTACGGTTTGATGAGTTTTCTAAAAGTCCCGAAGGCTTGATTTCGAATTTGATCGGTAAATTTTTGTAACTTATAGTGTAGTTGTTTGTCCAACGGATGGAGATAAAAAGGTCCAGGGTTCGAATCGTGGAATGTGACATGCTATAAGGATGTGAGTTTCATCCCTAAAGGGATGAGACATGCTATACGCTTTGAAAACATTAATATTTTTCACATGTTATTGCACATGAAGGCACTTTATAATTTAAAAAAAAAAAAAAATTTTTTTTTTTTTTTTTCCCACGGGGGGGGGGGGGGGGGAAAAAAAGGGGGGGGAAAAAACCCCCCCCCAAAACCCCCCCCCCCGGGAAAAAATTTTTTTTTTTTTTTTTTTTTTTTTTTTTTTTTTTTTAGATCTATTTAATTATTTTCTGAAACATGTTGGTCTTTGTCTGAATTTTTTTTAATGGGTGATAAGAATATGGAAATTCTATTGGAGTTAAGGATTACCATCCACAGATGAAAAAGCCTTGAAGTGTAATCACGTTTCGGTTTCAGTCTGTGGATTTTGAAATATCGAACGCCAAAATAGACAGCGCATCTCGTTGAGATGTTATAATATGATTGTTTGAGTATTTCACATTTTCACATTATGTATGTACCCTGTGCTTGTTTTTTTTTTGTACAATAAAAAAAATAACACATAATAAGCAATAAATGATAGAAATTTTTTGTAGAAGAATAATTTCAACGAATCGACAATTAAAATCGTTTTTTTTTTTCATTAAAGTTTTTAGAGCAATTATAGCGTACCAGCGATCACACGATGCTGGCTGTAATTATTTTAATTGTGAAGGCGCTTGTACGTTGTATGGAGAAAAAATATCATCATGATTTCTCTACGAAATGTCAAGCGAAAGGTTAATAGGTTAATCTGCACTCACCTTTAGTTTTCTTGTTTTTGTTGTCCCACGTTTACGTTGAAACGAATAAAAACAATCGTTCATCGTTAAATTGTTACGAAACGTTAAAATGGACAGTGCTCAGCGATGTATTATTTTATCGTAACGCGACGCTTGGCGATAATTGTCAAAATGAAATACTAAATTTGACCGTAAAAAGTGAGATCCTGTTTCCCTCCGTGGGGGTTGGCGCGAACACATTTCTTTGTTCGTTTTAGTGATCTGTTAACAGACCAGTTGATCAGATTTCTGTGCCCTGCCCGACCGAAAAAAATATTTTTGTTTGACCGGGATTCGACCCCAGGATTACTAGCGCTGAGATTAAAAATTTAGTCTTTTTTGTCTCAAATTATGTACATGTTTTTATAATAGTAATTATGTAAATAGCATACTTTTATATATGCTGTCAACATAATGCCTCAGTGAAGTAACGAAGACTGCGGTTTTTCAAAGCACCATCTAACTCGGCAAAATATAATATTGCGACAAAGAAAACCGAAGTAGGTTAGCAGTTAACTGTTGGTGTAACTACGGCGAAAGCGTTCATAATTATATAACTCGTAGTTTATTCTAAAAGCCTGAAACTATATAATTATCATAATGGCGTTTTGAGATTAGATATTGAGTCTAACATGCGACGCGGCTTACTTGGTTTTAATTGGCTTAGTTACGACGTGTGAGTACCGTTTTTAGGTTAGGTAGACTATAACTATGATAGGCTTTAGGAAAAATAAAGACTTAATAATTATAGATAATACATTTTTTTATTAAATTAAAAAAACGTATACTAACGTATAAAAACGCGAAATGTAATAGTTAACTTATTTACAATTTGCTTAACCACAGCTGTGGTCACGACAATCTGGAAAGTCCGTAGTTAAAATAAATTGTAAATAAGCTATAACATTTCCCGTTTTAAACCGTTAAAAGTGTTTTATTTAAACGTGTAAACAGTACTTATGCTAGGCTTCTTGTTAAACAAAAGTAAATAAAAATAATGTTTATAAAAAATAATAATAATATTCGTAACAAAAGTGACCAGAATACACACATTTACAACACAGATATTCATTACACACACTCCCAGAGAGGCTTATTAGATAACCCGCAATTTGAAAGTATTATTTGGTAAATCTAAAATAAGACTACACAACACAGTGGTTTTTGAATATTAATTAAATTTATAATTTATAACTCCAACTATTCAATAAGACTATTGAGATTTTCTACTACTTATTTCAATTTAAAAAATCTCTAATGATTTGTTTATTACTCATTCAACATTAATTACATTTTGTTATAATATATAACATTTATATGTTAAATTGTGTAAGGCTTTCACGGCCATCGTTCAGCATATCATTCTCATTCATTGTCTTTCGGGCTGTTCGGCCGATGTGAGCGAGAGAGGTTCTCATCTCGAATGATTTAAGTGAAATTTGGTACAGATATTTGACAGCCTGAGAAAGGACAAAGTTACTTCTTAATGCAAAAAAGATTGATAGGGTGAAAAGGGGGATGAAAGTTTGTATGGAAGTTCGTGGTTTTTGAAGCTAGAACAATGAGATTTTTCACGTTTCGCTTTTTGGCAGTGGGAATGGGAGTAGGAGTGATGTGTGATGAGGGTTTTGCGGCCCCCCATTCGTCCATTGGGCCTTAAATGCGCCCTCACAATCAAAACATCCTAAATAATTAAAATCAATAACTATTCCACAGATGAAGTCGCGGGCAAAGCTAGTTCGTATTAAATTTAGATTATCGCAAGTTTCCTAGGTTGAGTCCAGATATTGTTATTGTAAAGTTTCGCTGACTGATACAAACTTTCAAAAAATCGTCGACTAAACAAACAATTTCTTGTTTTCAGAGGTTGGCATTACACTGTGACATAAAGTGATAAACGTTTCAGTTTACCTTGAACGTTACATTGTTACAAATCGATCCCCACTCGGTCCAACGTATTTTAAATATAGCTAATTTTGCCATTTAATAATTTACTAAAATCAGCATATTATTGTCTTTCGGGCTGTTCGGCATGTAGGAGAAGAGGTTCTCGAGGTTTCGCCATCACGTGTGGACGGCATCTTCGGGAGAGGTTGCCCCGAGCCAACGGGGGGACAAAACCCCCCGGAGGGACCCCCCCCCCCCCCCCCCCCCCCCCCCCCCCCAAAAAAAAAAAAACAGGGGCGGGGCCCCCCCTTTTTTACTCTTCATTTATTTAAATAAAATCATGCTTTAAGGGTTTAAAACAGCTGATGTAAAAGGTTAAACATTGATTATTTGTATCATAAAAATTATTTTTAAATTTTTAAAATATTTAATTTACGGGGAGACTGCTGCTTTTCTGTGAGTTGAAACTTTGGGCCCAAGTTAAAAAAAATTTACAAATAGATTAACTAATTTACATATATCGCGTTTTAAACCGTTGCATTGTTTTATTTAAATGTATACTAATCGCGTAAGCTACAGACACTGTTGAAATAGAATTTATTCAAAAATCCAATTATGTTTGGTGAAAGTAATGAAATATTAAAAAATATATTCTTTATTTTAAAGATACACTTTACTTATACATTTGTTTACGTAATCTTTGTTCTTGCTTTCGCTGGTCTTATACAGTCTTATCTCAGAGCAATATTCCTGTTGTCACTTACATAGTTGTATATAGCCATGAAAGAACCTCATCTTGGCGTGAGATAGCTCGTTCCAGCTGCAACTTAACACAAGTTATGACAGCTCATTGTGTTTCATCTGGAAGACGCAAAACTTTGTAACATAGTACATATACATCATATAACAAACTTGCTTATTATTATACGTAGAGTAGCTTATTGCATAATTTTACTGTAATAAACCGCACTGTAATATTATATAATTAATACTGTCTGTAGTTTACCTATATCAATCGCGTTTTAAACCGTGTGTTTTATTGACTGTTACGTAATTGTCGTAAAAATGCAGTATTTTAATTTTAACCTCATTGATCCATTGTTTTTATTTATTTTCCTTATGTGTTGTATTTATATTATTTATAATCTGTATTTAATTTTATTTCTTAATGGTTTGGGCGTTTATTTTCTTTTATTACTGAATAATTGCATAACAACAATAATTATTAACAGTTGATCAAAGAGTATAAATATATTGCAATATTATCGATTTAAATACGTTACTTTCAACAGTTTAACTGTATAACTCCTCCCGTAAGCTTAAGAATCAGAAACGTCGCGTAGTAGTTAAAACTAATTGCAAGTAAGTAAGACTAATATACTTTGCATTTTGAACCGTTAAAGGTGTTTTGTTTGAATGTGTACTATTCGCGTAAACTATCAATAATCCTACAAATATTATAAACGTGACAGTTTGTAGGTGTGGATGGATGTTTGTTACTCTTTCACGCAAAAACTACTGAATGGATTTCAATTAAACATATATAACACATAGGCAATTTATATAGATATTGTGCGAGCTGTCCAAAATATGACATTAAGTGTCAAGTACTTAGGAAAAAAACCTACCTTTCTGCGAGCTATTCTGGCGTGCTATTCTGCCATAAACGTTACTTAGTTACACATAATTATGTAATGTATGATATGATAGACATCATTTAGTTTAAATGCGCGATACTATGTAATTCTAATCCTAATCCTGCATAGACGAAGTCGCGGGCAACAGCTAGTACCCAATATATTCGTTCATCAATTATATTTCGTTTATTAAGAAGAATGTAGAGCAAAATGTAGATCTGGTATATGTCATCAGACATCTTTAAATAAAACACTTTAACGGTTTTAAACGCGGTATTTTTTTTTTAATTTTTTTAAAAAAATTTTTTTCCCCCCCCCCCCCCCCCCCCCGCGGCAGAAAAACCAACGAACCGAGGGGGGGGGGAAATTTTTTTTTTTTTTTTTTTTTTTTTTTTTCTTTTTTTTTTTTTTTTTTTTTTTTTTTTTTTTTTTTTTTTTTTTTTTTTTTTTTTTTTTTGTTCTAGACTTGTTCTAGATTTTTTTATATAGAGAGATGGTAAATAAGCAATGTTACAGCGACTTAAAGCGTGTACAAGGAAAGTGAGGTAATCATCTACGAAGGCAATCAAGTCTTCTGCAACCGCGAATAATGTTTCTTGATTGCCATAATCTGTGTATGCAATAGCTCAGTAAATTGGTACAAGATAGGGTACAGGTAAGATGTACCTATTTATTAGTTCTAGACTTTCCAATTGGTAAAATAATATGGACAGCCTATATAATATCAAATTTAAAAGTATTGTCTGTATTTTGCGCGATTAAGTAATACTTATGTATTAAAATAAAACACTTTAAACGGCTTAAAACTTGTTATGTCTAAACTTATTTAAACTATATTTCGTTCGGATGTTCGATTATTTCGCGTTTTGAACTGTTGAAATAGGTTTATTTCAATGTGTAGGTACTATTTGCGTAAACTAGAGATGTTACTTACATATGTTTGTGCTATATTCTTTTTTTTAAAATTTATTTATTATATTTTATGTTTATGTATTATTTATATTTTTTTAATGATCTACTTAAGTTAAAAATTACACGTTTTAAATTCAGCTAAGCTTGTAATTATTGTTGATATTACATACATAAACACATGTACCTTCGAAACGAAAAATTCAATCATGAAAATAAACCCAGTCCGAAGTCCAAAGCATGCGAAACGTCAGGTCGTAGTTAAAATAAATGGTATATGAGATATCCAATATATTTCGGATTAAAACCGTTTTTTATTAACATGTGTACCTTCCACGTATAACTACAGATAATATTTAAAACTTAAAACATTTATAGACGAACACCTAAGTACATACAAGTATATCATATACTTCAATCGAGCAACAGTACAACGCTTGGAATTGCAGAGGCTTCGTAACTGAGTATGAATTACACTGTAGATGTTAGCTTGGAAATCATTAGGTATACATAGTGTGAAATCCCGATTAGGTCTCGTGGGGTATGGGGCGAACATATTCTTGTGTCCGTTTCACTTATCCGTCTTATTTATTTTTATGATAGAGGAGGCAAATGGCTTTACTTGGTGCTAGGTGAAATATCCCAGCCATATAACGTCTAAACAAATGCGCTGTCGGCCTATTTTGTCTTTGGATATTCGGAAATCGACATCGAATATTCCTACCACTTAATATTCAGACTTCCAGACGAAGACCAACATGTTTCAGAAAAATTACGAATTGATTAGAAAAATGTTGGAACAGTTGGCGATCAAATTCACGACCCGTTGATTATTAGCCATACCTTGTTACCATTACAGAAACTAGCCCGTCGAAAGTCGATGTCTTACGATATTTTTGTTTGTGTGTCCAATAGTGTAACTTCGTGTTAACGTCGAAGTGTTAAGTGTCATCGACAACATATGCTATGCGGCCTATGTCGGTAGCGTATGTTTGTCTATCAATTTCACAGTGTTTTGCAAACGGCCGTAAAACTTGATTGACGAAGTGTCCCTAATTCCGGTATTTGGGCCTTACTAAAAGCTAGACGGTAGATGAAGCATAGTAAGAGTAATAGTAGAATTTTTAGTCACTTTAAGTTTCTAATATAACACTAAATAAAAAACTTTAGACGGTGTGAAATTCGAAATGTATATGAATTAGGCAAGTTAGTGAAGCAGGTCAGAAAGTACGACCAAAGAGGTAACTTAACAAAGGTTTAATTGAAATATCGAACTGGCTTGTACATCAAAAGCTTTTAGTAAAGAAAATACTTTTGCGCGTAAAAAACTTTTGTTATTAAATACTGTCTGTAGTTTACGCGAGTAGTTTATTTAAATAAAACACTTTAACGGTTTAAAAGGCGATGTATATAGTTAAACTTGCTTGAAAATTATTTTTTAACTACGGCCCGACGGTTCGGCTGCTTAGCTTTGCTTACAACTTTTGTTATTATTATATTACTTATTTTTCGTCAACATCGTCACTGTTTTCAAAAATTCTTAATTGTACTACTTAGTTTTAATTTCCGCGAAATATTTGACAGTACTATAGAAGCCTTGGCAACAACAAGGCATCGATGGTCATACGTATGTGTGCCTCGTCTTTGCCTCGGCCCACATTCACACGTTCATCTACCCATACCCATTTTACCGGCCCCTGGAATAAAAAACTTATTCATTCTATGTGTCAAAAAGAAGTTTTTTAATAGTTTATTAGTGTCTATTAGAAGTAAAAAATATTATGCTTTGATAATTATATATCTTAACGGTTTGTTAATAAATATGTCAAAATAGAATAAATTGCTTTACGAATATGTTAATTTCGCAAAAGCCAATAATGGAATTAATTATAAGCGAAATTAGTATATTTAATAGCGTTATTGACAGGTTAATCTTTAATTACATCGTAAGACGTTTAGTTAATCTTAAAAACTTTGATTAATCCTTTAGAAAACAGAAATAAATCAAACAAAACCTCTCAATCATGATTTTAACATATATTATATAACTAGCTGTGTGGGACTTCGTCGTGTATAATAGTTATTTGGGGCATCCAAATTTGTTTTTGCAAACCTCTAAATCTTTATAAATTTAAGCTATTACCCACGACATCGGTCGACTTCCGTCGTTCTTGCAAGTTAATATTAAAATATAGACAAATAGGGTGTATTTTTTAGATCTTTGAAGAGAAATCATTCTTTGATGCATAATTTTTGGAACTGTCTTCGCAGTGTACCCATCGGAAACCCACTAAAATGAATAATTATCACCGTTTCTTCCACATTTCCCGCTGTTTCTTTTCTTTTCGTCCTACAGCGCAATTTTATGGTTTTCCTCGATAAGTGTTGTAACCAACAGAAAGAGAAATCTTCAATTCGAGTAGTTCCTGCGATTAGCGCGCTCAAACAAACAAACTCTTCAGCTTTATATATTAGTATAGATTAGCCACGATGCCTGGCATCGTTCTTTCAAATAAATTTTAAAAAATAGATATGTACTTCTAATTAAGAAGTTGACGCAAATGGCCTTTCCCATCAAGAATGAAGTTTAGGTCTTCGTAGATCTAAACTTCATTCTGGGTGGAAGGCCATTTGCGATGTGATGCAAAACGTACTTTTTATGATTGAAGTGGAAAGACAAGCATATGGTTCATCCGATGGTACGTGATATACCCCAGGCTATACATCGTAACAAGATACGCTGTCGACCTATTTTGGCTTTGAATATTCGGATATCCACAGACTAAAACGGAAACGCAATTAAGCTCAAATCATGGCTTTTTTGGGAATCTTCGGTTCGTGACCTGGACGGAATTTATATATTCCTACTACCAGGGGGCCCCCCTTTACCATTAGACCAACAAGCCTATAAAATGACCAAGTGATATAAAATAATAATGAAACGATATAACGAAAGCTAGTCGTAAATAAACACGTAAACACTCATTATGAGGACTCATAGTGTTTTCACATACCGTAAACCTGCGACAGCATAAGTTAATATTGAACATAGGTCAGCAACACATAGCAAACATATCTATGGGCTAAACATATTGGTTTTAGCATTTGTTTCCTCGCGAACAGGAAAACGAGTACTTTGCGAAACTAAGAAACTTTAAATGTTCGCAAAGTTGTGAGCTAAAATACCTTTGGAGAAAGCGTTATTTATTTTCAGTTACATCGTAACGGTGTTAGGAAGTGTAGTTTCAATTTTGAAGTAAATTGCATGGATAGAAAACAAATTTAAAATACGTAAGTCTTTGCATCGTATATTTTAAAATCTTCTTTAAATACTTTTTCTTAGTGACATGCCATGTTGTCATTATTTGCCCAACCAAATCGGATTGAGACTAAATCAGGGATATATACATTTTTTTTAAAATAGATGATGCCACACGAGCATGGTATCATTTGATGGTAGGTGGTCCCAGCCATATAGCATCTAAACAAGATGTTATATGGCTTTATTATACAGCCATTCTATCTATTGGTGAGTCGGGTAAAATTTCTATGTTACCAATTTATTATTCACAATAACCCAACGACGCGTTGGTTAGCCTTACATTGCTTCCTCCATTGAACGAACGAGTTTATCTGTATGTTTGTCTGTTTATTACTAGTAGAAACGTTATACATCCCTAATAATACATTTCTTCCTTATTACCAGAGAGTTGGGGACAGTCAGACGGCCATCGCTTCACATACCCTGCGTCACCACTTCTGACCCAGGGCGCTGACGTTGGCAACGAAGCTCTCTGCTCCTCCCAACCTGGTCATGCTGAAGAGTGTGTGCACCTTAAGAGTATTCCTCTTGGTTCTACCGTGGAGATCATCATGTTTGATCAAGGTAAGTTCACTTCTCAGTCCTTTAGTAGAAATAAAAATCTCGTCTATGATTTTCTTAACCTACAAAGCATAAGACAATTAACTTTAATTCGCAAGTATTAAATTAGAAATTACATTGTGCGTGAGGTGCAGGTATGCATAGACGATAACGTGTAGACCCGGTAGCTCAATTGGTTAGAGCAACAGCACGGACCGCTGAGGATGCCCGTGTCGTATTTTTTTTTCAATTTACGATTTTTAATATATATACTGCCATCATGTACAAAATATTAAAATGTTCAAATAGTAAATAAGTTTCTTTTAAATAAAACACTCTAACGGTTTAAAACGCGATATATTAGTTAAACTTATTTAAATATGATTTTTAACTTCGACCCGACGTTTCGGATGCTTTTCAGCAGCTGTGGCCACGGCTGCCGCAAAGCATTTGCGTGCTGCATTTTTCAATAAGTTTAACTAATATATCGCGTTTTAAACCGTTAAAGTGTTTTATTTAAATGTGTACTACTCGCGTAAACTATAGACGTTTTTTTTATTTAGGGAATTATGTAAATCACAGTCGTAGCTATCAAAAAACTCTAAAACTATAAAAAATAATAATATAGAGCCGAAGATATGAGATTTTCATTCCTAACGGTCACGGGTTTGATATGCACAATTTAATTATTTTCTGAGTACATTCTGACACGTGGTCTTCGGTAAAAAACTCGTAAGAGAACAGTCCGGTCCTTGTAGGTTTTATGGCTTATATAGATTGTTTCCCTGTCCCAACAGTGGGAAAAAATTGTTCATCCATTGGCACCTACAAACTCCATTGTACACGAATTTACGAACGAGCATGAAGTGTATGCATTCTCATACCGTGTTGAGTTTATATTTGTACATATATACAACAAGTCTATTTATCTCGTTGAAAGTTATTGTAATCAACTTAGGAAGAGCAAACTTGCTTAGAGAATACTTGTATGAACACTAAGTGATGAATACATCGTAATGCTTATTACTAAAGCGTGTTTAAATAAAATACTGTTAACGGTTTTTAACGCGGAGTATATAAGGTAACTTATTCTTATTATTAATCTTTCATTAATTACATTAGTAATTAAACGAATATATTTTGTGTTTTAAACAGTTAAGTGCGTTTTATACGTGTACTGCTCTTGTAACCAATACGTAAATAGTGTCTTTTAATATAAAGAAAATTTTGTCAATGAAATGAACTATTATGTTAAGAGAATTGTAAAAACAAAAAAATCCAGACTTTGTATAAAAGAGACAATTCATACGAGGGAGGACAAAGAAAGAAACAGACTATTTATAAATGCATAAAATGAAGTTAAACGTATTATTACGACATAACAAAAAAGAGTAAGTAGTTTATTTAGGTAAACTATATCCTTGCGATTAATTCAATATATCTTGAAAGAGAATGTTAAAATACACGAGATTTATTAGGTATAATTGAAAAATCGTCGATAGTGGCGGTTGTAGAACAACTGATTATAGTTTGGATTTCCTCGAGGTCGAATACTTTTAAAAATAATAATCTTTTAATTTTGACAATTGAATATTAACCGACTAGTAGGATTATCGAAATACAGTCTTGGTCCCGAACCAGCGTCCACAGATGAGTAAGCCGTGAAGTTTAATCACGTTTCGGTTTCAGTCTGTCAAGCCAAAATAGGACATTTCAATAAAACACTTTAACGGTTTAAAACGCGGTTTATTAGTTAAACTTATTTGAAAATGATTTTTAACTTCGGCCCGACGTTTCGGATGCTTTGCAGCAGCCGTGGTCACGGGGAGACCGCGTTTTAAACCGTTAAAGTGTTTTATTTAAATACTACTCGCGTAAACTATAGACAGTATTCAAAATAGGACAGCGCATCTTGTCAAGATATTAGAGGTATTTCATCTGTACTTTCCAATAACATTATTTGAATATAGAACAACAGTCCTTTAATACTATTAAAGGGAAAACTGTATCTAGATAGGAAACAAAGCCTTGCGTTTGTATGAGGTCGTATAATTAATATGAAGTTCAAGGCCAACAACGACCGCTGATGTTATCGTTGGTTGTCTGAACATTTCTGTAATACTCTTTTGCGTATACTCATAGTCTAGCTGATCCGGAAAATGTTTTATTCATATCAGTCTTTCGGGCTGTTAAAGTCTAGAAATAATTAATTTCATTAATTCTTCGAGCAATCGAGGAGTTAACATCTTCTGATGATGCCCTCCTCACGTGATGGCGAAACGTCTCTCGTTCAGGTCGGCCGAACAGCCTTACTCAATTTATTAAATGTTTTATTGTTTATAAGATTATATCTAACAAATCTAATAAATAATTAGTAATAATGCATTAATTTTGACCAAAGTTAAATACAATACTTGAAGACGACTCTTGTGTGTTAATCTTAAAAGATGTACTTATACGTGGACATTTTCTAAAGTCATTTAAAGAGGAATCATTCTTTGTTACACATCTTTCGCAACACACGCAACGCAAGTTCTGAAATATGTAAGAGTAGTGTTTAATAAATGTGGATTTATTTAAAGACGAAACTTAAGATACAGAATTTTCAACCAGATTCTATTTATGACAACTGAATTTAACAATTTTTAAACAAAAGCCATAAAACGTTTTATGGCTAGGAATACATTTTTGATCGCACATAAAATAATATGAAATGGTAGTAGCTCAATCTCACGAACACAGTGTTTCTTGATCTCGCTCTAGAAATCGATGGTAGGACGGGACTTAGCCGTGGTCGTAGCTTCATGTCCCGCCCATGTTTTAAAAATGTATATACCAGTATCAGTTACATACGAAAATATTTACGTATCATCTGAATAGGATTCTTATTGTTTAAAGATGATCTGTGCCTAACACCGCGGCACGAAGTTATTGCAAATTTTATTAATATCAACTAGTAAATTTTCTGTAGCGTGACTTATAATATTTGTTAGTTTACTCTAGCTATGTACTTGTGTATAATTAATGCGTAGGCTTAATTTAATAGTTAATTAGGAGGCCATTAGGGATTATTCATCAACGTAACACAAGCGGTGTGTTACAGTTAGGCCGTGGTCTCCTAAAAATGTCGTAGATCATCTATAGCTTTAAGTTTATAGCAGTGTGACGTGATGCTATTATAGAAATAGTTAGGTATAGACAAAGAAACACACTGTAGAGCTGTTGTCGTCTCTTTCACACGTTGATGCCGGCGTGTCAAAGTTGCAAGTGGCCTACTAACGCTTGCGCCGCATTTAGTATTGGCGTCTGAGCTGTATTGATCAATAATTATACCAATATTTTAAAGCTAAAGAGTTTCTTTAAACGCGCTTACATCAGAAACAACGGGTTCGAATTGAAAAATTATTTTGTTACTAGCTGTGCCCGCGACTCCGTCCACGTAACTTTGGGTAGAATTTTTCAATTATTTTGGCTATTTTTTTTATAAATTTAATAATACACAAGTGTTGTACACGTGTAAATACAGTGTTTCACTGCAAAGAGCTTATTAAAGTATTCATAATAAGTACATACATGGTATAGTGTGTTTTTATATGCTTATTTGAGTTTTATAGTTACTTTCGCATTTATAATATTAGTTAGTTCTATAAAAATTAATTACGATCCATCAACACAACTTTTCATACCTCATTTAACCCCTACTACCTTTTTTTCGTACAGCAAAAGGTTTTACAATGCAAAGGCTGCCAATCTGTGTTGTAAGTGCTACTTTGCCGCAGCACTCCCATTCCCAAAAAGTTAAAAAAGAAAGTTTCATTGTTCTAGCTTCAAAAATCATGAATTTTCATACAAACTTTCATCCCCTTTTTCAACCATTAACATCCCTTTTTTGGCTTTAAAAAGTAGCCTAAGTGTGTCCATTCTCAGACTCTAGAATATCTGTGTACCAAATTTCATTTTAATCGGTTCAGTATTTTCGGCGTGAAAGCCGGATAGGCAGACAGACACACAGACAGAGTTAATTTCGCATTTATAATAGTAGTGAAGTAGTGATGGATAGGCCATTTATTGAGGAAGACTTTTGGCTATGTAATATCAAACAGCGACGGATAGGAGCGAAGAAGCGGGAAAATCTGAAGATCGAGGAGCTACCAGAACGGTTCAAGAAACCAAAAAGTGTGAATGAAAGGAATAATTTTTACCTCCCTCAATGATCTGAAAATGTCCGCGACAATACGAGTCTATCTTTTAAAAAAACGTTTTTATGGTAATCAAATTTTGTCCAAATACTGTCTATAGTTTACGCGAGTAGTACACATTTAAATAAAACACTTTAACGGTTTAAAACGCGATATATATCAGTTAAACTATTTGCAATTTTTAACTTCGGCCCTACGTTTCGGATGCTTTGCACCAGCCGTGGTCACGGGGAGACCTTTCCAAATAAGTTTAACTAATATATCGCGTTTTAAACCGTTAAAGTGTTTTATTTAAATTTGGTCCAAATTAATGTTTTCGACCGATTATTTATTACACAATTAATATTAATAATTATAATACAATTTGTATCAACATATTATATTAATCTTACAAACAAAAAAACAACGTTCGCTGTTTCAACTAGTCGTATCTTAAGTGGCGTAACGCGTTACGCCCGTAAAAACTACCTTAATATTTGAGTCACCACTTTAGACGTTAGTTACCCACGAAGATCATCTTAGCTTTAGATCATCTTAGTGAGGGTAGTAGAACTAGATGAACACTGACCTGGGTGGACATAACCCGACGTCCATTTGACCGGGCGAGTCATTTATTGGAGACCATAACTTTAGCATCGAGCATGTTAATTGAATTTCGACAATGATTATAGTCATCGAATAATGGCCAGTTAATCATCTCACACCAATCCGTAGTGTTCGTCAGGTGGAGTACATTACAGCAATGAAGCTGTTCTATCAATATTTAAGCATAATGGGTATGGCCTAGATTTGATACTGAGTACACGAAAGCCAGAATAGATAATGTAAGTTACAGAGGACATAATAGCAGTATTTAACTTGAAACTTCTCTGAAAACTCTTCTAACCTATGGTATGTTTTTGTGATATCTCTTATGATATTTTCGGAAAGGAATAAAGCAATTTTCAGTATAATATTTGTGTGCATATTCATAGAGTTTATTTATAACTCGAATGACTTACGAAAATTTGCTAATTTGTTTGCGATATAGATGTTAAATAAGTTAAGTTATTATTAGATTGACCATGTATATTTCTACTGCCTGTCATGAGATCGGGACTTTTTTCGTGATCGGATCTTTTAGGTGTTTACTTGCGTCAATATTCTTTAAGTTATTTACTGCCGGTAATTTCTTTTTTTTTTATTTATCAATTAACAATGCATAATATAGGATACTATATCGCTAGATACATGTTTGTGTATAATTATCATTTTATTACGATTATTTTAATATTGTTTTCCTGGCAACTAGTTTTTACTAGCTTTCTGTGTTGTAGCACTGTGGGGTACAGTGGGGTAGCACTGAAATAATGTTTTTTTAGCTTATATTCGAATTCGGGACATTTGTGCGAATGTGAGGCATAACTTACTTTGGAAAATAATGAGTTACGATTATTTTTTCATTGCGCAGGCGACGAGGATGGTAGATTGTTTCAGCAAATAGCCTCCTTTCTAAAATGATTACAAAAGTGCGTAACTTCATAATTAATTTTTGAATTCTGATGAAACTACGAGCATTTGGTGCGAACATAACTTTCTCGAGAGCTCTGATTGCGGCGTATCTAGCTGGGTGTGAATACAAGTTATAATTAAGATGAAATATGTAAGTGTAACGTACGCGCATACATTTATAATGCCCTCTGCCGTGAGTATAATAACATCGCCCAATTAGGGGCACAGGTGAAGTTGCACGAACAATTTCGTGGACCCGGTGGAAAAGGAAATTATAAAGTGATGAATATGTGTTCTAAATTCAAATTTCGTCACTGAAAAGTGCAGTTTTATCGTATTTTTCTTTTATTTTCTTCTTTCACTTGTTTTTATGCATATTCACTGAATTATTGTTAATTTTCAAATGAGTAATGAACGAGCGTGTAATGGCTTATAAGAAGCTGTTTTTCTTAGGAAAATCAGCAATAGGAATATTTTACATAGAAGGACAGACCAGCATTGTATTTAATTGATGCGATTTGCAATGTCTATAACATCTAATAAAGATGCGTCGTATATTTGTTGCCCAAAAGGTTTCAAAAAACCAACTACACTTCACAACTTATTTATCTGCCGACGGTTTGTTGGATATCGACGGTCAGTAGGAATCGTAGCCACGTTCGTGCAATATTGGTGTAATATTTAAATAAAACAATAAGTTAACTAATATGTTTCGCGTTTTAAACGGTTAAAAGCGATTAATTTAAAAGTATACTACTCGCGTAGACTTCAAAGAATGGTTGTAATATACCGACTTTTCTTTATTTTTTTTTATTTGTTAATTTTACCAAATGTGTACATGTTTAAATATAACAAAGCATACCTAAAATCAAAATTAAAATGGCGCTGTACTGTTATAAGTTATCTAACTGGTTAACTCAGAAGTGATCGTGTTGCAAGCGTAGGCGTCTACCTAAATTGGGAAACATAACAAAGTACTTACAGGTATGGTTTAAGAAATCGTAGTACATACGTATATATAGTGTTTATTTTTGAATAATACAGAGTAATGATGAAAATTAAACTATAAACACAATATTTACATTAATAAACATTAATGTAACTAATCTTACTTGGTCATATATCGGTTCAGTTATCGTATATAGAATCAGACATTTTTTAAAATGGCCGCAAACTAATATATTTTTTATCGGTTTTTATATTGTGAGTATGTTTTTTTCTAAAACTGAAACTATTGTATAAGATTACACGCTCACTCGCCTGTACTTTTATTTATATTTATAAGCTATGCTTTACTCCAATATCTCTAATATATTATAAACCTGAAGAGTTAGTTTGTTTGTTTCAATGCGCCAATCTCAGGACCACTTGTTCGAATTTAAAAATTAATTGTGTGTTGATTGGATCATCTATTTAGTAAAGAACCAGACAAAATAGGCAGAAATGTGACAAAAGAACAGTTAAGATTCATCTTTGAAGTTTTTCGTCGCGTGCGCTCCGATAACGTTACAATATACGTGTAAAATATTGATTTTTTAATAATCAAAAAAATCTATCTATTAAAAAATATATATCTATGTCAGCCAGTCTTTAATAATAACTAAATAAAAAACAAATATATACAAGATCCTTTTCTAATATGCCTTTTAAAGTTATATTAAAGACACTGACATCTTAACTAATGTCTTATGTCAATATGTTTATTAGTGAGAGTAGTCATTATTCAAATTGACGTCCGCGAAATGCAAACCCGCGACGCAATCTCACAATTTTATGATTAATGTGGTTGGCCCCAATTGTATTTCCAGCCTTTGACTCCAAAGTAAATACGAGATGAGGCATTCTTTGTGTTGACTGTTTCTTACTATTGGCACTTAAGTAATCTTAAGTAAATGTTTGCGGTAATAATTGCTACGCTGGCTTTCTTACAATTCATTTAAATACTGTCTGAAGTTTACGCGAATAGTACAAATTTAAAGTACTGTAACGATTTGAAAGGCGATTTATATAAAACTTATTTGGACATTAACTACGACCCGACGTTTCGGATGCTTTGCAGCAGCCGTGGACACGGCTTTTTTATTTTATTCAAATATTTTTTTATAGCTTCCCGACGAAATGAAAAGTGAATAAATGGAAAGAAACTAAATAAAATTTATGTATTAAAATCTCTGATTCTGTGTTAGGTATTTTAAAACCAAATGTAGATCCTTTAAAGTTGCTTTGTGAAGTCCTGACTTCGAAATTGGTAATTCCGAAAAATATTATAAAGTGTTTTAATGGAATATGGGACGGATGTACATATCCGATTGTAGTTTTAATCCCAGGTAGGGGACCACAGTGTCACTTTTATTTAAACCTTTAAGCAATTAGGTACAATTTTAGGTTTAGGTTTAACAAATAGAATAGTGAAAGAAAGATCTTTCACGAAAACTGAGAAATAAAACAAATGAAGTCTATTCGCCTACAGTTTTTAAATACATCGTACATATTGAAAGTTTGTTCACATACTAGTTTTAAATAATACTATATATGTACAATTTAAAATGCAATATCAAACGATAAAAGGTAATCTCAACTCCTATCAATTCATTCAAGTCATACGTAAAAGTATCCATACATTACTTACTATGAAAAGACAAACATTTGATAATAATTTGTTTTCTATCACATATATGCAGCATTAATTATGCTATGCTGAAATAAACGTTTGGAAAGCTATAATAGTTGCGTTTGATCCATTTCGCAATTGACGACATAACCACAAATAGTGACTTGCAAGATATGCAATATTTAAACTGTCGTAAAGAAATTACATTTTCTTAGTGTCTGCTAAACTACTTGGATATCCGTCGTAAAATCGAGAAATAGCTGTTATATTATAATTTGTTCAGAATGTATACATTGTATAAAGTTATCGCGGCTATTTTGTAAAACTTTGGAATTCCGAACCTGTAAGGGCGTCGTAATCAATAATTTGTTCTCGAAGTTTCGTTATTACGAGTGGATGACATCATCAGGTTCGGGCATCTGTTGCACGAAGAACTCGAAAAGCCAATGTTTTTTTTTTACTTTATTAAAACATTTAAATATATATAGTAATTCGCAAAGGCGAAATGGGGGGAATGGTCAGCAAATGATATAGACTGATTATCCGGCCTTCTATTGGTGTCCAAATAAAACAAAAAAGTAATTGCTACTAAACTAGGCCATACTTAGCTCTTTAGTAAATTAAGTATTATTTATAGTAAAAATATCAAATGTAAACAGGAGTGACTAAGTGATTTGTTTTTTGTTCCAGGCGGAGAATCGGATCACATCTTCCATCTGCATGGCTATACCTTCTACGTTACCGCTGTGCAGCAATATAACAGTAGCTTAGAAAAAGAACGTGTCATCCAAATGAACGAGGAAGGCACGCTATTCCCTAAAAAGAACCTCGAAAGCCCCGTTCTCAAAGACACAATAGTCATACCCAAATTTGGAGTAGTAGCATTACGATTCAAGGCAGACAACCCTGGATATTGGATGATGCGAGATGAACGATCAGCTCACTGGACGAGAGGTCTCGATTTTGTTCTAAAAGTCGGTGACGCTAAGGATTTTGTCCAGGCTCCGTCAGATTTTCCTAAATGCGGTTCCTATGTTGGCCCTGAATACTTCTTAATTTAGTTTATAACGCACTAAATTAGTGATTATTTAAAAGCTTTAAAAAAAGGCTAGATTAGAGTGGAAGAAAATTTCAATAAAAAATGTGTACGTTTAAATTGAACACACAGTAAAGGTTAAATCTATATTAATGAATACATGATTTTACTAAGCCTATTAATTCAGTAGTTTGATTCGCCTAAGCTTAAATAAGAATAATAAAGCTAAGCTAGAAATGCTGGGATCGCAGATATCACTCCTTGGAGCTTCACAAATAAGTTTCGTCGGCACGGATTCACTAAGGGTCCATCCTTGGGACCACTTCAGTTCACGAATTTTCTTAATCTTAAAAATATAATCCATATATATTTAAATGCTTTTGCATTTTTAACTTATGTATTATACAAAGTCGTGGATCAGATGTCTTTGTCTGTATCATGAATCGATTTGCCCAACAGAAACTATTCCGCGGAATTCAAACTTAACTACTGAACAACGACGACGATTGTATTGCGAGTAAATTCAAAAGCAAAATACTTTATAAAAGTATTTAGATAACCGTTATCTTATAAGTATAATAGTACCTAACTGAAGGGTTTCATAGGATGGTCTAGATAAACAAATATTAAATTTGATAGACAGACGGAGAGAAAAGCGAAGCTATTAAGCAAGCGTTTACCCGATTGGTACGGAATCCTAAAAATGATAAGTTTAAAAAAACAGGCGATACATTTTATCATACATCTTTCTTTTCCGGTTTTTCTTTTTAAAATATTTAAGCAAGCGAGTTTTAGGTCTATTTATTAGTTTTGTGATAGTATTGTTAGCTGTAATCGGGGCGTGACTCGATAGCGCGTGCCTTCGAACTATTTTCATAATAAACATTTTCTTTACGATAGACGAGAACAGATCAGAAGAGGTTCACTTAATGGAGGTAAATTAACCCAGCCATACTACTATATGACAACCATATACTCGTAATATCAAAGATCATTTAAAGTTAACCAGATCATGGGATCATCATGCAAGATCATTTAGACACATGATACAAATGGGATAATCTTCTCCCTCAATCCTTCTCAATAGACAAAACTGGGTACTGTTAAAGGTGAAATTGTTTGAACGAGTGTTATATTTTTTTGTCAATTACATTTATAGTGCTATTCATAACTAATCATGACATTATTTAACTGTTTTATACGATGCTGTAAATATAGATATTTTGAAATATAGTTTGTTTATTTATTAAGTATCCCACTGCTGGGCTGAACCCCAGCTTCTGCAAAAGGATTAACGTTTATGACTCTAAATTAGTGATGATACTATATATAATTACGCTTCTTTTTGATGTATAACTGTGATATTATATAATACAGTTTCACTCCGCTTGATACACAAACGACGTTGGGTGATGAATTTTAACTATGTGTCCTAAGCATCCAAAATATTCTGCAAAGCATCAGACATTGGCAATTTCAAGTTTATTATTTTGGGGGTTTCCCTTTTTTTTTTCCTTTTTTTATTTTTTTTTTTATAAAGATAACAATTTTATTCGTAAAAAGACAGCGTATCATAAGATAAGCAACTATTATGTATCTTTAAATAAGCGTAGCACTAATTTTGGGACACAAAGCCGATTCGTGTTTCAACCTCATTATATATATAAATATACTTACAAGAAATGGATTCTATTTTATTCTAGGAGACATTTCTTTTACCTTGAGTCGTTCATTTTTATTTACATCACACAATATTCTCAGTGAAACTTGTTAACTGTCTCTGAGCATATTCCTACATTTAGATCTAGTTATATTTATGTAGCGCATAGTATGAGGTCGCTAGAGGCAGAGTAGCCTATCTGCAATTTTACTTTCATAGTCAAAAAATGTTAATCTAAAAGAGCATAGTGATCGAAAATTGTTAACATATTTTTTACACAAATAATATTTATTTATTTAATCATTAAAATTCCTGCATGACAGGTGGGAGCCCAATTCGACACTGAACTTAAAAACTAGCATAGAAATATACAATACAATTAAACTATGTCTATATTTTAAGATTATCTTGCAAGAACGACGGGGAGGAATGCGACCGACGTCGTGAGTAACAGCTTGAGTTTTTAAACATGACGGGGTTTGCAAAATCTAATTTGGTTGCCCAAAATACCAATCTTGCGGACGAAGTCGCTGCCACAGCTAGTTCACAAAGGTTTACATTCTCTTAAGAACACTTTTAAAAAACTCATAAAATGTTAATCGTTGAAACTAATTTAAGAAAGACATTAAATTAATGAATTCCCATGAGCTAACTCACTCGCCACGTAAGTGGTAGTAACTGTCAGACTGATACATTTAATCTCGTACGAATCGAAATTAAGTGCATAATGATATTAACTGCTATGTAAAGTGAAAGCGTCGGTATAACGTAACAGTATCTAAAATATAGTCTATATCAAATTGCGATGTACAGACAGCAGACGCGTGTATATTACCTTTCGTAAAATCTCTTATGTTTAGTACACTCGCGCACGAATTTCTGGCACGACAGACGTTGTTTACAAGATTAATAAAATAATAATAAAAATTAAAGAACCTTAAGAAACAATGAAATAATTACAAACAAATTTGGATACAGTAAAAAACGGTTCGTGCCACATTTTCCACTATTCCTTCGCTCCTATTGGTCACAGGGGGATGTTATGTAGTCTACAGCTTTCTATGATAATTTGTCTTTCTAATTTCAATAAAACATTTTATAAACTAAACTTATTTGAAATTTATTTTAACTAAGGCATTACGTTTCAACGGCTTTCCAACAGCTGTGCTCGCGGAAAGACCATATATATCGCATTTTAAACCGTTAAAGGGTTTTATTTAAATGTGCTTGCGTTAACTAAAGACAGTGTTCGAACAATCTAATACAAAAATATTATTTCAATAAAACAGTAATTTCTGAGATTAGCACGTTAAAAAAACAAACTCCTCAGCTTTATAATATTAGTATAGATGAAACCTTAAATAAATTTAAGCAAGATAACACTTGTTAATTCATGACTGATGTTCAAGTACATACGAGTATTTTGCGTCTAAAGGAAGTGCTTTTGATATAACGAAACACCTCAGCACAAAGATCGGAGTGCCACTTCGTCGCTCTCTATATTGATTATTTTTTTATGTTCGAGAAGGACAGAGAAGAATAGGGTTCTCTTGATGGAAGGAAATACCCCAACCATATCACATCTTATCAAAGCTGTCGACCTGTTTTGACTTTGGATATTCGGAAATACACAGACCGGAACCCATAACGATCGAAGTTTTGATTTTGACCCATTTATCAATCCAGATTTCCAGATGAAGTCCAACATGTTCTAGATAAATTATAAATTGGTTAGAAAACGGTTGAACCCGATGGGGATCGAACCCACGGCCCCTTGGTTGTTAGCCGTACGTTGCTACTATTACACCAATGAGCTCGTCAAATTCGTTGATTATTGTCTATGGTTTGAAATCGGCCATATTTGTCGTGGCAAGTGTTATCAGATTATTATTAGAGCACACGAAAGCCTGTTAGTTATTAAATATTATGTAAGGTAAGGTATTACCAAATTTTCAGTTGACAATTAACAATTGAGGTTAAAGCATTTTGCTTGTAAAGTGCATCGAGTACAATTAGAGGATCTTATGCAACAATTTATATAAGTTTAGCCTTTCTCCTATTTGATTGAAACTTTAACAAAAAATACAATTTTATGTACTCATTTACTTTACCGAGTTTCAAATCAGTCATTCGTTTTTATCCACAATACGACCGTGAGTGATATTCTATGATCGAATATATAGCTCATATCATAAAGCTGAAGAGTTTGTTTGTTTATTTGAACGCGCCAATCTCGGGAACAACTGGTTCAAATTGAATTTTTTGTGTTGGTCAAAATATTTATCGAGAGCAAAAAAGAGGGAAATGTGCAGAAAACTGTGAAAATTACTGATCTCTGCTATATTGCAAACACGGTTTAAGATACCCGAAAATATCTTTAAAAGAATGATTCCCCCTTTGAAAGATGAACTTGCAAGAACGAAGGGACACGATGGAGAGGTTTGCAAAACAAAATTGGACGAAGTGGCTGACACAGCTAGTATGCATATAAAGTCTCCGTCGTTATTTTTGGCAAGTTTAAGGAAAACCATTAACGATTTTCGTCACTGAGATTAATGACGCAACCGGAAGTGAGCTAATGAAAAACGATCCTGCCTTTTTTCATAAGGCGTGCTGTAATTTATGACACATTAATAAAGTAAGCCGTGACTAAACGAAACGTTTTAAGTTTGATACCCGGTGTAATATAGATTTTACTGGTATCAAAATGACGAGCTAGATGAACTTGGTTTTAGCTAAATTTAAGTTTTAATGTTGTCGAAGGTTTAGACGGGACCCCTTCTAAATGTAAAATTCTATATGAACAAAATAAAAAGACAATTAAAAAAATGCTGGCATATATATTTAAAAATTTCATATGCTTTTAATGTAACTTAATTTTTGAATTTGTATATAATTTTTTATTTTTTATCTTTACTATTTAATCTACACCACATAATAATATTTGTATTAGTTGTATTACCAATACCTACGATTAACCTAAGACATCTCGCCATGGGGGCTGGCTGAACAAGTGCGATGTGTATTTTAAATTAAAGTTATAGGAGCTGTAATGTAGGCGTAACTCCGATCTGCAATCCGTGTTATTTAAAAATAGCCCTTATAATTAAAAACATATATATATACATTATACATTAACTCGGGCAGAACTTGAACCGGCAACCACAGAATGCCGTGCTGTTGCTCTGCGGCTGCTGTAAAACCCATATTAGCAGATTAATAGAATTTAAGTAAATGTACGCTACCATCAGAAAAGCAATCGTAGGATAAGTACCGCATGATGCAGAAAAGTACTGTAACTAACAAGCAATTAAACATAAAAATATAAATGTACCTGTATATTATCTAAAAGGCCGGGTTGTTTA